CGTGGTGAAATGCATTGGCGCTGGTTGTACCTGCATGTTGGCTACATTGATGCGTCGAGCTTCTGTTCTCTTTTCGGGTTTAAGGTTCAGGGTTCTAGGGTTTGGGGTTCCCAAGTGTGTATCGAAAGCCCTTCAAGCAGGAGCTCTGAGATGCCCTGCGCCAACGGTGGATCAGCATCTGCAAGACCTGCTTTCAAGAGGGTTTAGGGTTTAAGCTTTGTAGATGTTATGGAGTTATAGAGTTTTAAGGTAAAGGGCTTAAGGTTTAGAAATAGTAGAGTTATAGAGTTTAAGGTCTAGGGTTTAAGGTCTAATGCTCAGATTTAGGGTTTAGGTTTTAGAGTTTAGACTTCGGGTTTCAGGTTCAAGTCTTGGGATTGAGGGTGGCTGGGGCCTGAGGCATTTTGTTTGGCGCGTCGTCCTTGACTGCACCTAAACGACTACGTGCCGAGGGAGGAAGGAGGGCTGTCGAAGCTCCAAACCGAACAAACAATCCAAAGCCCGCGACGCGAAATAAAGGCCGCCCATAATCCTTCCGTGACCTTGGAGCTAACAGTTAACTGTCTGAGCACCCTAGCCCCAAAAGGTTCAGCTTTGGATTGTGCTAGGTATGATAGCTATACGCAAGGAGGCGGAAGGCGACCTACTCGGCTATTCCTGGGCCCAGATGCCCTTTCTCACGCATCGCAGAAGATCCCAGAAGGCCGCTAGTACACAACAACCGGGCCAACAAACAGCTCGAACCTTCTAAGGTAATTCGACCGAATATATGCGGCCCGAAACGTTAAGGTACATCTGTTGGCTATCTAAGAATAACGAATTAGAAGACGGCTTTCGAAGGCTTGCATGAGCTTTAGTGAAGGCTTGACAGACAGATTTTGGGGTACATCATGTATTGTGATTGTGTATGTAATCATATAGGGGCTGAAACGGTATATGGTAAGCCTAAGCCCTGGACCTAAACCCCAAAGCCAAAGCTCCTGTATAATTAAATCCTTGTAGAAAGGAATCCTGAAAGGCATCCTTATGGGAATCCTTATTCAACTCTACAGTAAACTAAGCGACTAAGCTCAAAGCCTGGAATCGACAAAAAACCTGCCTCTCGGACTGCAGCGTTGCTCAGCCGCGCAAGCACCTCTAGTGCTGGAAATTACGTGAAAGGTTTGGGTTTAGGGCTTAGTGCTTCAGGGCCTTAACTTAATGGTATAAGGCTTAAGGGTTAAGCCTGGAGCTTTGAGAACCGACGAGAATGTCACTAGGGCCCTTGGGCTGTGTGTTTGGATTCGGACAAGTTCTGAAGAATGCAATGTGCAGGTATCCCCACAAGACCTGTTCAGCTGCTTTGGCTAGTATGTTCCATTAAATACTGGGCATGACCAAGCTTGAGTTGGGAGGCAGGGACTGAGTTGCAGAAGCCGGACCTCGTCAGAGACTCCGAAACGACAAAAGCGACTGGAAGCCCTCAGCATTCAATGGCTACGTAAACCTACGACGGAGATTGTCAGTCGTCAGTCAGAAGCTCTGAAACCAAGACTAGTGCAAGTCACTCAAGGGGAAGTACATCATGGAGGACAATAGCATTAGTTACACCAGCAACAGTTGCAGCAGTACCGATCGCAGTATATAGTAGAAAAAGCGGCTATCAGCAGCAGCAGGAGCAACAGTAGCAGAAGCAGCAATAGTAGAAGCGTTTTTGTTGTCGTCCACACGTGTCGCTTTTCTGGTAGCGATGCCCAAGTGTTGATTCCGCCAACTCCTGCGCACCCCGTCCATCTACCCATATACAACGTTAGTCCAAGCACCACGATGCCGCGCAACGACACCACCAGGACAGCAAGAGCTGTGGCCCTGCGGGGAGCAGTGTTTCCGACGGCGTCTTGATACCTTATGATTCGGCATCGCAGAAACTCGTTGAAAACAACAAATGCTGTTTGACAGATGTCTTTCTCCAATGCATGAAAATCAGTATACATGTAAACATAAATATAAGGATGGCACGGATGTATGTACCTATGTATACATATCTACGGTCTTTGTACGCGTACATATATGTACACACAATATAGATAGAGACAGAGAAAGACAATGAGAGATCGTTGTTGAGTTGCGGACATGGGTGCACAGACCCGAGGCCCGAGAGGCGTAAACCATGAACCTTCAAACGATGTGTGGCGGTTGTGATCATTGCCAGGTAGGGTCTAGGGCTTGGGGTTTAGGGTTTAGGGCGAGGTAGCGCAGCTTTGTTTGGAGGATCTTGGTTCGGGGCTTCATTGTTTAGAGGCGCGAGCGCGAGCTCTTCTTCTAGCTAACCCTTCCCGTTCCTTGGCTGCGGATTTGCCGGCCAGGGCCTGAAACAGCAGTTGAACTTCTAGATTAACACAGTATCTACCTGTCATATGTCTGCAACTTAGGAAACATGGTGAACGGTTGGATATGCACAAGCTAAAATGATGGAGAGAAACGTAGCCCCCAATACAACACGGAAGACCCGAAACCTTAAACCCCTAAACCCTCAGCTGCTCTTTTTGTACTATGCCAAAGGCCTGTGAGGCTGCGGCACTGTGTCCGCAGCTTAGCTCGGCGTCGACGCTACTATATTATTGCAGCATTATACTGTATACTGTACTACTATATTATGCAATATACCTATTGGCATTACCGTCCACTTATTGTGTTAGATATTCTACTATACTCTAGTGTATACTATTCTCTAGTGTATACTATATCTTGTAAAGGACTGAGGGTGGCTGCTATGTTGTGTGGAGCTGTGCTTTGTCGTGTCACTCGGGCTCGGGGTTTTCGGCGTTCATTTCGCCACTTGCGACCCTAAGAAGCACGGAGAGTGGTAGTTCTCCAAAGTAGGATCCCTTTTTAGGTCCCCAAAGTAGTACGGTGCCCTTTAAATGAGAACCCTAAAAGGGACCCTAATTCAGAGAACTACCCAGAGAGTCTGCGACACGCGACTGCCAACCGATCCTGCTCAAGCGGTTCTCAGCTACCTCACTTTCAAATTTACTGAGCGACCAAGACCCCGAATCACTTCGAATTGGAGAAGCTGGCGCTCTTCGGGGTTCTGAGAATATATGGGTTTCGGCAGCGTGATCGGACGGGACATAATACTCCGCTGACTGGCAGTCCTTGCGGGTATGTTCCGAAATCAGGATCCAGCAGCTTTGCCAAGAATCGAGGCCTGGTGTAACCGGGAGTTCTAGTTGTATGGGGGCAGCATTACTTAGCATAGGGTTGTGGGTTATCTTAGAGGTTATAGTACGTAACGATAATTGTGGGGCCTATCAGGCGCACATAATTTGCTCACTCTTCAGATCCTATATAGAGGATCGTGAGAGACTCTGATTTCGTCCTATCCGAGAATGGTGCACAGGCATGGGGCTCAGAATGATTCTGTGCCAAGGTTTGCGGATTACCTATAATCTTCATTGTAGTTCCCTTTGGGGAGTTGCCTTCTTGGATCCTAAACGTAAAGACTCGTTGAACCAAAACAGGAACTACACTTGAAGACTATAGTGTAGGTGGGGCGCCGCGCCGCTCCTGATTTCTGTCGCCTCGGGCCGTACTTCGCGCTAGCAGAACCCTCACGCTCCATGTGCTCATAGAGTATATACATTGGCGTCAAAGCATGGTCCCCATATAGGTACTTACTCGGCCAAAGTATAAATATAAATACATATACATATATACACACTTCCTGGGCACATGGAGCCTCAGGGGGAGTGGACTTTCTGGAGAACTATACGGCAACGTGGCAGAGGCTTCTTTTGGTCTGGCAGACCCGGGATTGCTGCTTGATCTTCTTTCATGTCATAGTGGGCCGCTTGGAGCCCTAGAACGACGCTAACCGCGATACTACATAAGTCAGAACCCCCGAACCCGATTTCGTCCTGTGAGTGAAAGACACCAGTTTGGAGAGCCTGCAGTTTACAGTCCATCCCAAAGCGGATCATGCTGCTGCTGATCGGTAAGTGTGAGTATACAATAGTATATAATAGCATACGATAGTGTGTCATCGCAATATACAGTATGCTGTCGATTATAGTTAAATGCTCGGAAGTAAAACACAAAAGCAGCATCAAAGAACAATAGTAGCAAGTGAGATGATAGCACTCTCTGCAAAATCCACCAACTCCTGAACAACCCTAAACCCTAAACGGCCCTAAACAAACCCTAAACCCCGAACCCTGCAACCAGACCACAGTACACGGTCAAATTTCTCGTAAAGCTTACAGCCGATCTTGTCTATATAGATGTGATGCCTTCCTGCGTGCCACGTTACCACCTGGGTCTTTCCAGCGGAGCTCTGTTTGCGAGCTGCATGTCTTTTCTTTCGGGGGGGAGGTGATCGCCTAGTTTTGTCTGAGACTCCCAGGGATTTCGGCTTCCCGTGTTTCGAGATGCTTCCTGGCTCTACCGGAGACCTCGGTGATTCAAGAGGCTCATGCACCAAAGGCAGAGCTTCCATAGTGGAGGCCGCAGCCGTGCAAAGACGTCGCTTCGGGGATCTATGACACAGGGCATTTAGGTCATAGAGCCAAACAAATGTGGCCAGAATTCGGATCCGAATTTCGGGATTTAGGGTTGAGAGTTTGGGGGACCAAGATCCTTGCCACTATCACTACCTTCACTACCGCCGCCACCACGACGACGACTTTCTTTTGCTGCGAAGTATCAGCAACAAAAAAACTGTAAGAACGGGTTCTCACTCGAGTTCATGCCCTGATGGGATAAGTTCCTTGGGCTCGCAAAGAACTAGTCCATGAACCTCGCACGAGCTAGAGATGAATCACATAGGCAGACATTCTTAGTCAACATGCTAACGAACATCGGGCTTTTGGGAATAAGCGAGAACAGTGTTTGGGTTGCGTTTCAAACAGCCTTCAAACCGAACTTCCGATAAAACGTGACTTCAAGATTTGGGCTGGGACGCGGGTGGCCTGCAGCGACGCGCCAACAACTTTAAAAGCATGCCGCTGTGGCCGATTGACTCAGCGAAGGCCTCGCAGCCGCATTGCCCACGATTCCAGCTCCTGACAGTGAATGTGCCTACGATTGCAAGGCTACAGCCATGGCACAGTACTGCACTTATCAGGCAAAGAACAGGTATTCCCAGCTACTAGCCACTATCCTGTCGTTGCTCAAGAACAAAAACCGATGACCATAGTCTAGCATGCATTTCTAAAGGACTTCGGGACTTAAGTACCCGAGCTGGACGTGACGCAGGTGCTGGATTTCTTGTTCGGAGACATGACACGACACGAATCCCCAGAGATATCTGCACCGCCGCACTTATCCGACGCATGGGGTTCGTTATAACCCATGTAGACCGCAAACTGAAACCCGAAACCGCATGGGGAAGCAAAGTTGTCGAGATGAAATGATAATACAGACCGTCGACGTACGAATTACAACCCCCTAACATGAAAGGAAGTATACTGAAACTGTACTGGGGATCCAAATATCAAGGCCCTTAATTCACGGCGGGTTTATGAATCAGGGGTCTACCTTACCCTGCATCTCGCAGTGGGCTCCTGGACGTCGGCTTGCAGATCCTTGGGCTCCAACGTGCGCAAGCTAATTTTGGGCATTGCGATTATTAAGACCGCAAGACTGGAAGACCATCGGCAAATAGACAGACTCATCGTGGGCTAAGGAAATCTTGCAACAAAAGAACCCCTAGGCTCCATGTACCTTTATAGTATATACAAAGGCTTTGAAAGTACCTATATAGGAACCCCTGTAAGGCCTAAGTATATACTATATGGTTACATGGAGCCTTTGGGGAAAGAGCCAAACAAACTCATTGCTAAGGCTGATGACGGCAGAATGGAGGTGCACACAAGCTGTGAAGCAAATGTGGTTCTCAAGACGCGGCATGTCGAACAAAGCCGGTCTAGACCGAATGGGCCAAGGAGCAATGGATTTTGTGAAATTTAAAGGCTTCGAACATTAGAAACCGTTTTGGGCCATAGTATAGATAGTACAATAAGGAATAGTATTGGCATGTATTGATAATTACTCAAGCTGCTATGTTCTTACTACTCTCAAACTCGAGCAGGAAGCCCATGTCATCCCGAAGGCCTCATTCTTTGATCCGAAGCCCTGGAAACCCTCAGTCGACACAAAAAGGATCACTAGAAGGGTGATGGTAGGGGTGTACCTCAAAACCCTATTCTAACCACAACAGCTCGTATATTACCCTCGGGTTCCATGTACCAATGTAACATACATACTTTGGGCCTAAAGTACCTCTACAGGAACCTTGGCAAGGCTAAAGAATTGTAATATAGGACCCTAAACCCAAAACCCTAAACCACAAACCCTAGAATGGAGCCTTATAGGGTTAAACCCCAAACCCTAGAATGGAGCCTTATAGGGTTTAGGGTTTTGGGTTTGGGGTTTTGGGTTTAGGGTTATGTGTCCTAAACTCGGAGCCTGCCAGCCGGGTGCCCGGCAGGCGGTGGTGGCTGCCCAGCTCGTGTGGTCTGTGCCGGTAGGCTCCGGGAAGTTTGTAAGAGTTTAGAGCTCAGTTTAGGGTTTCTGAACCCTAAGCAGGAAACCCTGAACCCCTAGACCCTAAACCCCTGAACCCTACACCCGAAAACCCTGAAGCCTGACTACCCTAAACCCTAAGCATGAACCCTAAACCCCTAAACCCAAGGGTTTGGGTTCAGCGCTTCATGCTATGAGGGTTCTCGGCGAAAGCTGCGGACCTGGTTTCGGGAATGGCGCAAGCAAGCCTAATCTAGGGGGTGCAGGGTTTAAGGTGTAGGGTTTAGGGTGTGTGGTTTATTGTTTAGGGTGTAGGCTTAAGGGTGTAGGGGCCTAAATGGCTACCAATACAGCCTATCTGTTCTTGCAGGACCGGTACTCTTGGGGTGTATAGGCTTGAGGATTGAAATGGATTGAAGCTTACTATATAAGGGCCGAAATAAGTAACAATACTTTTGGTCTTGGCTATAAGTATAGTATCACGCCTCAAAACCGAGTATTTAGCGGGGTATCGTATGATGAACATAATACAGTACACCCAACAACCCACTATGTTGGAGGTTTCCAATGATACTTGTAGCATAAAGTAACCCAACACCCTATTCTAGTTATCAAGGCGCCTGCATTAGCCTTCGCCCCTGTGGCCTGGGTCCGGCATGATACAAGGGATCATGCCACCGTCATAGTCTCAGGGCTTTGGTTTCTGTGTTTGTTTAAGGCTCCGTCTTGGGTCCACGCGCTCAAGAGCATCGTTCCAAAAGCCCCTTTGAACCAGCAAGAGGCTACACATAGGGCAGCACTTTAGGGTGTAAGGTTTAGGGTTTACATTCCAGAAGAGCTCTTCTGCTTAACGGCCCCATCCTGCCTAAACAACGTCAATCTCAAGCTGGTATCCCTCCAGCAAAGCTTCTAAATACTGGGCCCACATAGAAAAAGCTCTATAGACCCGTATGGGGGTTTCCGAAAATAGGGGACCCTAATATAGTACCCTAAATGATAGGATCCCTATTATAAGGACCCCAAAATAAGGTACCCCTTATTTTGGGAAACTCCCGTATAGGACCACAGCTTGTAGCACTCTGATAGGGCACCTAGACCCTTGTTACGGCTCTGAAGTCTATATCAATGAACTACGTCCTGAACATGCATACAGACCTACATATACATATGTATATATATATATATATGTATATGTATACATAAACAAATAAATAAATACATATATATATATATATACACACACGTATATATACAATATATATATATATAGAATGGGCTCCCTCCCTGCGCGAGCCTTAGGTGACGTGTCCGGGGAGAGTACTGGTGTAATCCCGGCCTCTTGAAGGAGTTTTGGGGGTTCTTGGGCTTCAGGGTTTTGGGTTTTTTGGGCTTTAGGGTTTGGGTTTTGGGTTTTGTAGTTTAGGGTTTTGGGGCTTCAGGGTTTGGGGTGTTTGAGGTTGGGGTCAGCTTGCCGGTGTGAGAAATGAGGGGCTGCGTGTCTGCCGAGGTTGCGATTCCGTGAATCGTATTCCCCATATCCTCCCGCGACTGGTAACACACACACACACACACAAACACATACACAACACACGCACAACCCACACACACACACACACACAACACACAACACACAACACACAACACACAACACACAACACACAACACACAACACACAAAACCCACACATATCCATTCACTACCCAAGTCTGCGACCTTACAACCCAACACCCGGAGCCTTAAATCCAAAGGCCCATGTTCAAGCACCGCCTAAGCATGAGCCACGTGCGTGTGGTTGAAAATGACACCTTCCCCGAACACCTTATATGCACCCAGAACTCCAAGCCCCAACACTTAAACCCACACATAAACCCTAAACCCAAATCCTGAACCCAACCCTAAACCCAAACTTGTCCCTTTATATAACCTCTATGCGCACGTTTCAGCCACAGCCACGTCGGTCAGAGCCGCACGGAGCTTCGCCGCACTCCGCTCAGCGGAGGAGAGGAAATTAACCTGAAAGAGCTGGGGGTTTAGAGGTTTAAGGCTTACACAAGGGTTGAGGGTTCCTAAGTAATTAGGCTTCGAATTAAGCATTGTTGGGGTTAAGGGCTTAGGGCTTAGGGTGTTTAGGGCTTCAGGGCTTCGAGGGTTTAGGGCATCCGGAATCAACAATGCTGCCAACCTTTTTGAAGACGTATCTATAAAGAAGCCATACTAAGGATCCCCCCAAAAGAAAGGTTTTATTATAGGGTCCCCGAAATCTGGTCTCAGCAGATTAGTGTTCTTAGTCCTGCTGGGCATGGTTTTCAACCCTGAAGTCTCAAGACGCGAAGCTGCGAGGGCTCAGCTTGGGTGGCTTTGGAGTTTGGGGTTTAGGGGTTTATAGTTTAGTGGTTTAGGGGTTTATAAGGGTTTAAGGGTTTAAGGATTAAGGGCTCAGCGGGCTTTGGGATTGTGAGGGTTCAAGGATTTTGGGTTCAAGGTTGTGGGAACGGGCAACCGGGCCTTGCATAGAAGGTTAGGCACCTTGGTCGCTTTGGCTTCAGGTGGGTTTAGGGTTCGCTTTGGGGATTCGTTGAGGTTTGACATGCGGGGCTTGAGTCTACGATTGAGGGTTGGGATTGTGGCCGCGGGAGAGAGAACGAATCGCAAGAGTTGGGATGCCGGGCTCGTACATAGGGCTACCCGCTGTTTCGTTTGAAGAACTACGCACAAACCAACGCATCGGACCGTCAAACGCAAAGGTTATACACCCTAGACCCCCAGCTTGCAAACCCTGAGTATGGCGCAAAACCCGTACTTCAACACGTCTGATTCTGCAGGGCCGGAGCACTGGAGAAGCCGCCCTCAAGTTTGTAGGCACTGCGTGGAAAAATCTCGGTCCCGAGCCAGGGCAGCGTTCTTGATTCGGAGCTGCTCTGCTTCTTGCTGCATCCTGGCCCCAAGAAAAACTTTACGGTTAGGGTTTAGGGTTTAGGGTTGCCCCGACCGTCCTACAAACATGAAACCCCGAAACCCTGCGACATCCACGGCATGCTAGCCCCCTGAAGGACATAGCTGGACGAACAAATTCGAAAACTCCTCGGATGTAGAACGAGCCAAACCTGTATAACCCAAGCATGCAAAAAAACCGAGCATGCACGGCATCGAAGCTGACGTCGCGAAAACGTATCCCGTAACACTCCTCGAAATCAGAACTCCCCCCCAAAAGCAATCAAGCCCAAAACCCTCAACACTGCAACCTGGAGGCCCCCTAAACCCAACAACCAAAAAACGACCTCACAACACCAAACCAAAAGCCCTAAACCCTAAACTTCCGACTTTCTAACCCTACCCACCCTGTAGACCTCTAAGCAAACCCCCAAAAAAGGCCGAAGGCCTCAGCTCCTGAGCCCCTAAACGCTCCCAAACCCGTAGGCCCTGTAAGCCCGAGTTTTGTTCAGTAGTATTATCCTTGCTTACTTTGTTGTTTAGTCTAATATGCGCAATCCCACAATGTCTATACTTTTCCAAAGTGGGTTGCTGAAACCTTCAATGGGTAGTTCTCTAAATCAGGGTCCCTCTCAGGGTCCTTTGAGTAAGGGTGGCATGCTCTTTTGGGAACCTAAAAAGGCACCCAAGAGAAAAACTACCCATCTAACCAGGGTAGAGTCCCTTAAAGGAAAGCCGGTTATATAACCCGAAACGCTTAATGGGACCCCCAAAACCCTACAATCCTAAACCCCCTTAGATCCCTATAGATCCCTTAGCGGAACCCTGAAGGAACCTGACACGGCACCCTAGTTTAGAGAACTACCCCAATCCACACCCCCGCACCTGGATGACTGGCTACGGAGGATTTCAAGCTCCTGCAAAGGAAGATTCAGAATCATAGGCTGATATGGCTTAGGGTTTAGGGTTTTCGGGTTTAGAGTTTAGAGCTTGGCTAATGTTGGTGTACGTAGTATTTGGAGTCGACTCACTGTGAGGGTTGTTGCCTTTGTGATTTTGGGACTATGTCAGCTTGTACGTGCTCTGTTCGGGGCTTTTCCAGGTCTTAACTGCCTTAACTTAAAGAGACGCAGACACCAAGGGCTGAGGGCATTGAGGACTTGAGCAGTTAACCATTAATAGGGCTCCTATAGTTCTCGTTATCACCGCATAGCACAATATACCCCCAAACCCTATCCTAATCCTAAATAAGCATACACGGCACTGTGTGTGTATTTATATATATTGATATTGATATCGGGTGCTTTTGGTTTTTGGGTGTTTGGGAAGCTTTCGGTTTGAGAGAGATTGAGGACCGATGCAGCGGAAGGGGAAGGGTACCCCCAAACCCTAAACCCTGAACCCTCAACCCTAAACCCCGAACCCTAAACCCTGAACCCTAAACCCATAAACCCTAAACCCATAACCCTAAACCCTCAACACAAAACCAATAAACCCTAAAGCCCTAAACCATGTAATATCTGCAGCACCAGGAAACTCTGAGAGTTTCCCCCTGAAGCCCTCAGAGGGCGATGTGAATATTTCGGAACCTTCAGGGGCTATGCAAGGTTTATGGTTTTCGGTGCGGGGTTTATTGCTTTCGGTTCTGGGTTTAGGTTCTAGGCTGTAGTGCAGAGGTCCTGAGTCAACCCATAATCTGAAATCAACCCTGCATCCAATTCCTCATGGGCGCCTTGGACATGTCCTCATACTTTGGCGCTGCCTTCCCGGGCTCCGGAAGGGACTGATCCGAATCCAAACTCATGAAGCCGGGTCTAGGTACGGTTGCCAAGGGTAGTCCAGGCTTGAGTGCTGTAATTAGGGCTGCATGTTTGGATTCCCGTGTTTCGAAGCCGTTCGAGCTTTGAAGCTTCTAGGCGCGGATTTGTGAGGGACAGCCTTACTTACTGCAAATAATGGCACTTTGTCCAGATGTACTATGGTATGCGTAATATATAGTGGTGTTTAAAGTGTATGATAGCATAGTCCAGTACGTCAAGAGGCTAGCTTAGGTTTGCTTCAAGCATAGCAAGGGGAACGGGGTTAGGGCTTCGGTGTCTAAGATCGAAGATGATTTCACTCCTTTGCCACCGTTGGCACGACTGTTCGAGATGAGCTTCCTTAGGGCTGCGAGAACATATCAGGAGACCCGTGGCCTAGCCTAGGTTGCTCTCCTGTTAATTTCTCCTTAAGCTTTAGGTGTTCGGGCTTTGAAAAGGGCTTGTGGTCCGGGGTTCTACGAGGTACTGGGTCTTATGGGAGTTTGGCTCAGGAATTTTGCGGACTGGGACAATCCGACCAAGCGTAGAGCCACAGTAAGATTTGCCTTTGCGTCAAACTCTCGAATTCGCATACACATGCTTTTCAGAAACGTATGGCTTGTGCTAAGATCCCAGACACTCTTCGCCCCTGGAGTTCAACATTGACCCATGGAGGCTTCCCGATTTGGAGCTCTTGTTGAGGAGGTTTTTGAAGCTACCATGGTAAAAACGGATAGTTTGGATCCGTATTGTTAAAGTTCTGAAACAAGATTCCAGCTTTGAGAAAACAGTCGGGGAGGCAGTTCATGAGCGGCTGTGCGGCAAATCGTGCGGCACGTGTAGGACTTCTGACATGTAGAGCTTGAGACACTGGCAGTGCAAAACGCTGCGCTGAAGAGTTCACAAAGAAGCCTACAAGAGCTGCTGAAGTAAGCTAGAAAAGAGCAGCGAAGTTCCCAGAGCAGGTCATAGTGATGTGGCCCAAGACGTCTAGCCAGCAACAAGGGCATCTGTAAAACAGGTAGAGCCTTGAGGCCTCGAATTTTGACATCGCCGATCCTTCTACAAGTCTCCGCGGCAGAACTGCCAGATTCCCTGCCCGAGCCATGGTATGCAATATCACCGGCTAGGGCAGGAGAGGTGGCACGGCACTGTGCACGCGAATCCGAACCGCCTCGCCAACAGGTTCTGCAGGAGTGATCGTAGGATCGGATCTCTCCTGTCATGCAAGGTAATATTCGGGGTGGCAAAATATCGCCCAAAGCCTTAAAACCCCGGTAATCCTCTATGAACAAAAGAACTTGTAGACAATGACGTTGACCATCCTCTATGAACCTTTTGAGGAAGTCTTACACGCATTGAAGGCCCCTGCCGTGTCAGTGTCATGAAGGACCGAATCCCTCATTCTAGGCACCAGAATAATTAAATAGGGTGTCGGGAAACATGATGCTGTACTACAATCAAATATACGAGAAATACACTATAGAAATACACTATACATATACGATCAGTATACTATAAGGGGGTGTCGGGAAACATGATGCCGTACTACAATCAAATATACGAGCAATATCCCATACATATACGATCAATATACTATAAATGTACTCTGGAACCCCACGGAAGTATTATATACCTCTTCTTCAGAGCTGCAGGGTAAGGAAAGGCTCCTCGTCGACCTCGGTCGCCCGCAGCACAGGGTCCACGTCGGCCTCACAGTCGCTAGAGGCTGGTACACTAAAGGTGTAGGGTCTACCCATAGGCCCCATAGTAGTTCTTTTTTGGGATTACCTTATAGGATCCTCAATATAAGCTACAAACAGGGGTGGCTCAAACTAGTGTGCCCTTAGCCGCAAGATAGCGGAACAGCCTTAAGTATTAGAGTATGGTCTTTGGATCCAAAAGCCTTCTAGGATGAGTCCGTATTACAGCCGTGCGGGTAGAAGTGACAAGTTGGAATAGAGTCTCAAAGGGTCTGAATATAAAACTATGGTATAGTCTGTTTTGAGGTGACAGGTATCTACTATAAGTAGGTACTCAGACCCTTTAGTATTGGACTTCTGGACTATACAAACTCTGTGGCTTCTGGTTCCTTTTTAGAGTGCAGGGTTTAGGGTTGCGGCAGGGACCCGTATTCTTTCAAAGCCACAAAGATGATGCCATGATGCGAGTTCCAGAAATGATGACCTGCGTAACAACCGTAAGTGCAACCATGCAGAATCAAGGCTAACATAAGGGTTTTAAGGATCCGTTCACAAGGAATGCAACCATCAATCACGGGATGGTTGTGCGGTTGAGGGCTGGTGTGCGGGCATTGCGGGATGCAGCCAATAGGCCAAAGTCTAAACCCTACACACTCAAACCCCAAATCCCGAATCCGCTCAAACCCGAAGCCCTCTCTGGGGTGGCCGCCTCCACCACAGCCAGGAGCGACTCAACAACCTCCGCCGGAGGAAGGATTGGCTCGTTGGTGCATATATAGGGAGTTCTTCTCGGCTTTGTGTAGGATTCAGTGTCTAGGGTTTAGGGTTACGAAAGTACGAAACAATATTCCAGAGGGTGTATGGGCTGTAGCATGTTGGGAGTTGGGGTTGCGGGTTTAGCTTTCGAGTTTTGACATCATGTGTTTTTAATGCAAGGTTCCCAGAAGTCAAACCGAAACCGCCCGTTTCTCGCGTGATTTCCCTACCAATGCCTTGACCATCTGCTGTCTTATTCACGGGACAGGGACAATGGGCGAATCATAGACCCAAATCTTAAAACAACAGCTGTTCCCCGTGCACTATGACTTAACCCCGGACGCTCCAAAGCCCGCGGCCGCAAAATCTAAAGCTTTACGGGCAATGAAGAAAACACCCTAAGCCTATAAACTCTGAACCCCGAGCCGCGAAACCCTGCACCCACTTGACAACGCGCTTTGATGGAGCACTTTGCAGCAAACGTTCCTTTAATTCTTGAGGTCGCGTTTCGGAATAGTTTAGGATTTAGGGCCTTTACTGTTGTCTGAACATTTGGAATGGTCGTGAAGGTTCCTTGTTGGAGTTCCATGCTTCAGCATAACGTACACCAAAACCTTGTTCGAATTCGAACAAGGTTTTGGTGTACTTTATGCTGAAGCATGGAACTCAAACAAGGAACCTTCACGACTACCATTCTAAATGTTCAGACAACAGTAAAGGCCCTAAATCCTAAACTATTCTGAAGCGAGAAACCCTCGACACAAACCGCAAACCCCCTTAAACCCTGAACACCTCAACCCTAAACCCAAATTCGCAAACCATCGCAAACCCCAATCCGTCAATCCTCAATATACCCGCAGAACCCCAAACCCCTTGATTAAGGAATATACCTTGAATTGAGAATGGAGCCTTGCTAAACACCTAAGGGTGTATTCCTTACTTCAGTGGTTTTGGAGTCTCTGGGAAACCCTAAACCCTGCCCTAATCCCAGAACCCTAAACCCTGTAACCGTAAACCCTGTAAGCCTAAACCCTAAACCCTAAACCCTGTAACCCTATAAACCCTGTAACCCTAAACCCTGAATTCCTAAACCCTAAACCCTACACCCTGCAACCCTATACCCTGTAACCCTAAACCCTGTAAGCCTAAACCCTAAACCCTGTAACCCTAAACCCTGAATTCCTAAACCCTAAACCCTACACCCTGCAACCCTAAACCCTGTAACCCTGAGCCCTGTAAGCCCTGTAATCCTACTTGCCGGCCTTAGCTCTCTGTTGGAAGGACTCCTCCTGCAGTGCGCCGGCTTTAGAGCCCAATGGACTTGGAGTTCAGGCTCCCCCTTTGAAAGGCTTTAGGGTTTAGGAAGTTAGGGTTTATGTTTAGGTTTAGGGTTTAGGGTTGAAGTTTAGGGTTTAGGGTTTAGGGTTTAGGCTTTAGGGCTTAGGGTTTAGGCTTTAGGGTTTATAGGGCTTCGGGAGTTTAGGGTTTAGGGTTTCTTGAGGTTTGGGCTTTAGGGCATCCGTTGAGGTACGGATAAAGTCGGGTTTGGGAGTTTATCGGATTCTTGAGGTTTGGGGTTTAGGGCCTTTTGTCGGCGCACAGAGGGGTTCAGAATCAAGGGTTACAAGCTCTGCAGCCGGGCGGTAAGTCCTCAACCAACGTTCACTCAAGGGCCCTTCAGTTTAAGTGCAAAGCTCGGCTCTGACCGCTCAGACCACCCAAGGACACGTTTCAAGCAGGCTGCTAGGTAAACAGACCTCCAAGGTCTAAGCCCTAAGCCCAATATGAACCATAAACCTCCCTAAAACCCTCAACCCTAGGGTTTAGGGTTTAGGGTTTAGGGTTTAGGGTCTAAACCTTAACCGGCGCGGCCCCGAAGAAACGGAGAAACGCAGCCACCATGCAGGCCCAGATCGAAGATGCAGATCTTAACCGTTACAGCAAACCCGAAACCCATATGGGGGTTTCCGAAAAATAGGGGACCCTAATATAGTACCCCAAATAGTAGGACCCTTGTTGTAAGAACCCCAAAAGAAGGTACCCCGTAGTTTTCGGAAACTCCCATATAGGGGTTACTAAATAAGGGCAGTTCTCTAAATTAGTCTGCCTTCTAGGGTCCTCTGTGTAAGGGTGCCGTACTACTTTGGGGACCCAACAACAGACGCAAATTTAGAGAACTACCCATCTGTTCAAAACTTTACAGTAGCCCAAAACAAAGACGAGCTAATATGATACGGTTGATGATAAAAATCCTGCATTACCCACAATAAGGAGTATATCACAAGTCCCATAGTTTGGCGTCCTGAAGGAAATGCAGGATAAGAAATATAATCGACAGTAGGTTTACGGTTTGTTTTATGCTAGGGAACCTTCGAAAAGCTTACTGGGATCAGCAGCCTACCACTGAACCCAGAGAATTGCTGCAAAGATCACTACAGGGTGCCCTTGCTAAACCCTAAACCCCAAACCCTAAACCCCTAGACCCCAAACCCTAAACTCCATACCCCGAACCCTAAACCCAAACCCCAAACCCCAAACCCTAAACCTCAAACCCCAAACCCTAAAACTTAAACCCAGAACCCGAGCGCCTCAGCGGACCGGTTGGCATCTTTCACGGCCCGCAGGACCTGGCCGTCATGGCCAAAGGTCAGGGCTTGGAGGTTAGGCTTAGGGATTCGGGGTTAGGAGTCAGAGGCGAGGGTTTAGGGTTTTAAGGTTTAGGATTTCCTTTCTGTAGGGATTCGGGGTCTGGATCCAGCTCGTTCTTAAGTTCGAGCATTTTGGGTGGTGTGAAGCAACGATGTTGCCGCGATCTTCCAAAGATTCCATTCACTACTGCTGCTGCTGCTGCTACTACTACGGCTGCTGCTACTGCTACTAGTCACTAGTGCCATTACCACTACGACTACTACTTCTGAAACTCTAAACCTGCATCTGCTCCTGTTGCCACTGCTTCGTCCGCTAAGGATTCCCAAACGGCCGCCGAACACACGCCCGAGGTGAAAGCTGTTGAAACAGGTGCCTCAAGCAGTGGAGTGCTCGGCAAGGTTGCACCAACAGGCATCGCGATCTGTGCGGCATGGCCGTGGGCTGAGGGAGGATCCTTGGGAGTTGGTGAGGGTGTTGTGTCGAGGTGCATGGGGTATCGAAATTTCATGGAGTTCACTGTCGTGTCCTAGCGGCTACGGACTCAGGGGGGACGGCACAGAATCACAGAGCGACATGTTCGACTGGATGTACATGTAGGGAAGGACGTTGCTGGCTATGGCAGGCATGTCATCCCGAAACCGCTCGAAGGCAGGTAGGCCTGCAAACAACAATCAATAATGCACCATGCTCAACTGCCCGAAACATTTTTGAAGAACGGAAAGACCTTGGTCCATGCTCATGTGGCTTGCGAGCTTCGGCGGCAAAAGTTCTGAGGTCGTTCAGTGCATCTCTGTCCAATTTTTCGTTTTACCATCTGCTCTTCCAGGCTGAACATCCCAGAGGGTCCAGAAAAGAAGCTACCCATCATACGGAAGTAGATCCCGAAAACCCATCCTTATTATATCATGGTTTTGGACCCTCTGGGCTCTTTTTGTGAAAGCCAAGTTGTAGTGATTGTAGTGGCGACATGCATAAACAGAAAGAAGCCTCCAGCCCACGCATCGAAGTCATGTCAAGCATTCCCAAAACTTAAACGCACTCCAACTCCTACAACCTGAACCCTAAAACAACCTAAACCCTAAACCCTACAAAACCTGAACCCTAAACCCTACAACACCTGAACCCTAAACCCTACCCAAAAAACCTTTCGGTGCCCACCGCTACCTCCGCTGAATCCCGGAAGACCCTTGCCAGGAAGAGACCCGCAACCTAATATCCGGGCCTCAGGGTTTAGGGTTGTGGGGCTTAGGGTTTAGGGTCATGGGGTTTAGGGTTTAGGTTATGGGGTTTAGGGTTTAGGGTTTAGGGTTTAGGGTTTAATAGGGTACTAGAGCCCCTAGGGCCCTATATAGTAGGTACCTGGAGGGTTAGGGCTTCATAACCAGATTACGGTTCCTCTAAAGGCTTCCTTCAACAAGAATGCTTGCATCTTGTCCACGTTTTACCGTGCTTCTCGCTGCAAAAAGCATCCGCCCCGACCAAAATAACAACTCCAAGGGTCCAAAAGCTTCTATAAACGTTACGAGAAGGATTCTTTGATATAAGGGCCTTGAGAATTAGAATAATTAGAATAAGGTCTTGGGGTAGAATCAGGAGCCCCCGAATAGTGTTGGAAAGAACTTAGCTTTCTGTATTATCTTGGGCACATGGCCCCAAGCTCCAGCCCAAGGCCTCGAGACAGTGCATTCTTGTAACCATGCGACCTGGGCTGCGGATTTTAGGTTTAGGCCTTTTAGGGCTTAAAGTGTGGGGTTTATTAGAGTGTAGGGGCTTCAGAGGAGAAGCCTTGGATCGTGGGCTTCTGGGCTTTTTGGCTCCTGAAGAAAGGCTGAAATCTCAAATAGCAGAGGCACACAGCGAACACACCTCTTGGACATGCAAACTCGTCGCGGAATTTAGTCACTGTTGAGTAGGGTTGACGGACCGCTAGAGCGAAGTTGATATCTAGGGGCAGCTCTGAACTTATAGAGTTGATACAGACCTGCTACATTGTCCTACCCTAAACTGGTAAACCCTCAAGCCCTATAAACCCTCATAAAGAGCCTGATCTCCGAGCTGGCAACCGGCGAAATGCCCGTCGAGTAGAATCTGGCGGCAAGATTTGCAGTTCAGTGGGTGTTCGGGTTGCATAGTTTCGTATAATATAGTTTCGTATGGTATTGCATCATATGGAATAGCATCCCCCGCAACAGCAAGAGTGCTTGCAATTCAAGCCCCGGTGATGGGCACGTCGGCTTGCCTGATGACGGCAGTGACAGGGATCACTGTAGCAGAGGCAAAAGTAGTCGTGGATGATCGGTTGTGAAGGTCTGATGCACATGATCACACTTGCTGTCGTTGTGTCTGGTCGCTGCTCGAGCTGCTCAAGAGTTGAACATCAGCCACTGTCGTGGACTTTGAGACCAACAACCGTTGGCACTATTCCGATTCCCTCATTCCTTCTGGTTTTCCAAACGGATGGCTGAACACCCTCCTCTGTGGTGCAGGTGATGGCGTGTTCCGATTGAGCGGAATTCTGGTGATGCTGCAGGTCGACGTGTTGCAGATATGGATGGAGACAGCAGATCCCCGACTACAAGCATTGCCCATTTTTTCTCACTCTCGATCATAAATGCTCACCGACACGTCATGGCAAGCTTGGCAAATTCAAACGGAGCGAATTCGCCGACTGCTTTCAGCATTTCTCCGCGAGGGGTTTTCTAAGAACTCCGGTTCTGACACCTTCAATCCACGGAGTCACTGAAGGGAATTTGCCAAAGATCATCTAGAATCTAAAACAACTTGCGAAGGTCCAGAAATGTAAGGCATAGCTGACCTGCGGATGTGCTTACTCCACGAATCACACCAAGGGCTGCAATCGCTTGATTCAAATTCAAGCGGATGCCGGCTGGAAGCAGTCGCAGTAGTCGACTTCTCGCAAACAGAATACGTCTTCGCTACGCTACGGGTCGCTATTTTCCGGAACAAGCCGCCATTGAAGGTGCTTCTTTACTTGTGAGTAAGACGACGGAACTGACAAGTCAGAAATAGTAAGCTTCTGCCAAAAAAAGACGTAACTATCCCTAAACCGAAACCCTAAGCAAGCACACCACTACTTGTAACGGTGTCAACGTGTGGAATACTCGGCTCTTCTGTTCGTGATGTCCGAATGCAGGTTGTTTCTACCAGAGCTGAACGTAGCAACACAACGCCTGTGAACCAATAGGACTATCCTCCTGGGTCTGTTTGGCTGTAGCTTGTGTCTTAAACTGAGCTGAACTTGCTTGGATCCTGACGCAAAGGATTCTACATAGTGTTTCGGGTCTATCTATAGCCCTCTGCTGCCCCTCCGAAACTGCCTTTGGTTGGTGCTCCAGAATGTGGGTAGTTCGCTAAATTAGGGTCCCTGTTTAGCTCCCCAATTAGTACGGCACTCTTCCAAAATTTATTAAAAGGACCCCAAAAGGGACCCTAAATACCCATGTCAATCTGAGATCTGCACGCAGCGGAGACGTACCCCGAGGTGGCTTTGAAGCGCTCGAAATGGCAAGCCACGAAAGCCCTAGAAGCCCAAGGTCGCTGAACGTAGGGGCCTTAATAATTAGACTAGGGTTTTGGGGGTATATTATATTATAGCTGTTACTAGGAACTCCCGAAATAGTATAGGTAAGTATTTAGGCCCCTATATTAGATTTCTGCCTTCGCTGCCATAGTGAGGAAACCATATGAACTGTTTACTCTAGATTCCGGCTGTGGCTGCAGTTCCCAAAAGACGAGGGCTACTGACTTACATACTAAAGTATGTCTAGCACCCTGTTATATATATATATATGTAACAGTGGAGCCCTGGAGTTAGTTGAAGGTTTACCTGAACACCTCCCAAAAAGCTACCACCCTGGCGTGCGTGTTTATACTTCCAAAAAAAGGGTAAGTTGTTTGGCATTAGGATTTAGGGTCTCAGGTTTCTGGGGCTTAACATGTAGGGTCTGTCTTTGCTGAATTTCTGGTCTGAGGAGTAAGGCTCCAACCAGGTGGTACCATGTTGTGATTGATTGTATCATCAGCAGTTGGACCCGACCCTGACCGTACCATAGGTTATCAAACATACTCCAAAAGCAATCTTGCCTGTCATATAGTGATGTTCCTTACTGTAAACCCTAATATGGTACCCACAACTCAGCAAGACCTTACTGGGCTCCAAGGGTCCTAGGGAAGGGTTGGACGCATGCAGCACGCAATCTTTATGAATCTGTGTCTCCTGCACTCAAGTTGATCAAAGCTTGACTGCTGTCTGCGGTGAGTGTAGGGCCGGATCTGTGGAAGGAGTGGTCAGAACAGAGATGGAATGGCTACTTCGACTAGGTTCAGCCGAAAGCAATTCTACACCCTCATCGACCCGATGACTGATGGTCACATCTCGAAACTGCTTTGGACTACATCTTGCGGAAAAACCATCGACTTTCCACGCGTCAGCGCGAGGCCTAGTGTCAGTTCGGGCGTGAGAAATCGTGTCTACGAAGGTCCATGTGCTGCAGCGCTCTCCCCTCCCAAACAAGCAGGGGTTCGAAATGCCCACTGCCAAGGAACAGACCCTCCTCCATCTGCATCTGACGTCATCTGCACTCATGAAGCCCGCAGCCATCTTGTGTGCCAACCCTGCTTTTGTCGAGAAGCTGGCAAGAGCTTATCGCTAGCGCGTGTCACTCAAGTGGCCAAAATGCCACATTCGATCAGCGCAGACGGGTCAAGAAAGGTACTCCAGAAATGCAGGGAACATTTCTCGAAGCTCACTTGCTAATCCATCGCTTGCCCTCTCCGAACTCGCTCCCGATGCGCCTGGACCGCACAGTAGGGCAAACATCTTTGGTTTTAGTTTAGGGCATCGGATAAGGGTCTAGGGTTTTGGACTTAGGCTTTACATCGGACAATTACTGTAACACATAGACAAGACTGCGCAACTTCTTTACATGAGAGCAAATACAAGGACATCCGTTGTTCCATTTCCTCAAGAAACCAAAACAAAGAGACAACGCCTTACTCACGAACCCCTACAGAAACCGTCGTCGGCCCTAATGTAGGGGCCTTTACAACTAGAATTGGGTTTGGGGGCATATTCTACTATAACTATAACAAGGAACCCCACCGAAATAGTATAGGTAATTATTAAGGCCCCTGTATTATTATGCTGACTTCGAACCCTGGCGCGGTTCTCATACAACAACGGTACTATTACATAACCCTAAGCCCTAAGCCCGAAATCCCGATCCTGAAGAACAGCCAACAAAAGACTGGAACCGGACCGAACCGAGAATTGACAGACAAAGCCCAACACAATGCACACCCTCTTAGGGTTTTGGGGGTTTAAGGGGTTTAGGGTTTAGGGTTTAGTATGGGTTTAGCGTTTTAGGGTCTAGGGTTTGGGGCCCGGGCTTCAGTCCCAATATAACCGACACAATAAGTCGGAATAGTTCGTAGTAGCATGTAGGGTTTAGGGTTTAGGGTTTAGGGTTTAGGGTTTAGTAAAACTACCCCTTGGCGGTCCCCAATATACTTATCATAGCAGAATGATGTACAATGCATACTCCAAGCCACGATTCTGACTCTTGAGGCACCTGCATCGCACATGGAAGACAAGAATCTGCCGAACCCTTGCCCTGCCCGTCCCGAAACCCTTCGACCTAAACCGTAAAACCCTATAGACCCTGAAGACCTAAACCTCTGACCCTGCACCCTGAACCACAAACTCCCAAACGAAACCCTGAATCCTCGAGCCCAGACCCTAAGTCCTAATTCCAAAATCCTAAACTCCTGACCTGGAAGGCGAAACTTCGAACCCTGGAGCCGCACATATGTGTACATACAACTTCGTTTCTCCCACTGGACAAAACCACACATGCGGCGGAGCACTTTTTTTTTTTCCTAACGTTGGCGGTCCCCGGTTTCCCTTGCTAAGGTTGGCGGTCCCGTTTGGGTTACAAATACTATGCACTGCAGCATTTCC